GAATTGCAAGTAGATTCGGGTCTTGTCAAGTTCTTGCGGTGCCAAATGTGACAACGAAACATGGTGAGTTGGTGAAGTAAGCTAGTGAGAAGTTTGTGAACATGCGGAAGGTTGTGAAAGAAGCGCATGGCTGCGAACGGATCCTCGATCCTCATTCGAAGAGATTGCAAATTTATGAACAGTGGGTGTCGAGTGTCAAGTGTGCACGAGACTCTAAATTTCACCTGCTTACTTTACTGTCCCACGTTCTGCCAACCAAGCCCCAAAATCATCTACCCTGGGTTCAGCGACACGCGCTGCACTTGCGAAGCCACTTAGGAATTTCCCTCCCACGCCAGACAAGATCCCAGTAGCAGCAAACACGGTCCAAAGAAACGACCTCAAGACACCTTTGCTCTTTCCGAGATCTGTCTCTATGCACAGACCTAGAGGTGCGATTAAACCATACCCCTTCCCATCAGTGATGCACATTGGAAAACAATCATTTTTGGGGGATTGACATCTAACATTCCACGTTTGCTCGCGCAACAGTCCCAAAAAGAAACCAGACCCTTGGAACACATTGTTGAAGTTGGGACTCTGACGACAACACAGCAGCTGGCCACAACTAGCGCACACAGTCCGACAATTGTACGCGCTGCGAGAAGCGCGAAACCCAAAAATGAGTGTTCCGCCTGGCGCCTCCTGTTGCAAACATGCAAACATTGGGCAAGAACCCACCCTTTTGGCAGAACGCTTCTTTGGATTTGCCAAGATCCTCGCGCTGGCCCTCCTGAATCCCACATCACGAATCCCAAATACCAACCCTAAACCAGCCCTAAACCAACGTTCACCAACCCAAAACCACAACCATACCCACCCTAAACCAACCCTAAACCAACCCCTAACCAGCCCTAAACCAACTTAAAACTAGCCCTAAAGAAACCATAAATGAAATCCGAAACCAACTCGTAAACCAACCCGAAGCCAGCCCACAACAACCCTAGGCCAAGCCTAAACTTGCCCAAGCAACCCTCAACCCCAAACCCACCTACAACCCTAAACCCACCC